GCTGGCTTTACCCTGGTTGACAGACTTCCTTGCCATGGTACTGTCTGTGGAGACAAGTTTTCCCCATGACAAAATCAACTGGCTGGAAAACTGAAAACTCAAAGCTGACTGGTCTTGAGAAAGGAGCTGAGGGAATGACCTGCTTACAGGAACTGTGCCAGTTTCTTATCAACTGTTGTTAGTTTTAATCTATTCCAGCATTATTTCATTTTATTTGGTTAAATCAAAGGGCATCTTACCTTCCTGTCTTGTATGAAAATTGTGTGGCCCCATCGTTTTGTCTTTAAAAATATACGTGGAAGTTGCAACCTCTCTGGTTTCAAAAGCATCTAAGAACTGGTTCCGATGCAGGCAGATTAGGGTTTTAATCTTTCCATGTGGGAATACAAAGTGATGCACTGGCCCCCACCCCTTTCTGTTATGTTACCAATATAATTGAAATGGAGGTTAGCCCACATGTATTTAGGGATAAGTAAATGCAAATTTTTGGAAAATAGGGTCCTATTTTCTTACCCAGCTATTGAGTTCCATGTCTTTTTCAAGGTGTTCATAGGCCCTGAATATTCCAGAGTGAATAACTGAAACAGTTCTATATTCTGGGTTTTAGACTTAATTTGGTATAGATGTATGGCAGAAAAAGTGAATGAAAGTGTGCCAGGAATATTGTTTGTGCCTGAATGGAACAGCAACAGTCGCAGAGTTCTGGACCTGTACTAAATATGTTTCATTTTCACACTTTTTAAAAATCAAAAATAACTAAACTAATTTGACCCCAGCAGTCTTTCCTGCCTAGAGCAGGGGAGCTGGACCCGATGATCTCATGAGGTCCCTTCCAGCCCTAAACTTCTGTGAATCTGTAAAGAGGAAGGAAGAGAAAACTATCTGTCAGGTATGAATTAGATATACGGCGATGAATATGACAGAAATACATATGTCAAAAGTGAAACAGGGTCATTTATCCAATGTACAATTGGAAGAAGAAAGGAGGATGATGCTATTTAAAGC